TTTCTGCTCTTTTTCTCATTTATTAGAGTCTATTACAATAAAGTTTTTAAAACATAGGTCTCTTAGCACAGCATTTTGCATCATCTTTAAAGATAATTTTTTATGTACTGTGGCAGTGTTCACTCAGCTGCATCAGAGGGAGAAAAACTAGAGAAACCCCTATGGCAACTCTAGGGCTGCATCCATGCAACTTCTGCTTGCATGGGTGGGCCAATGCTGTTCTCAGCTGGGTGTACTGCAGTGGCTGCATGTAGCCATCAGCGGGGTTTTTGAAGTGAGAGGGTGCATTGGTACCCCTGCCAGTCTGGTCAGAGATTGGCCATTGGAGCTTCTCTGGGATACCATGAATTTAGAACAGGAGCTGGGGGTCCTCATGTTTGTTGGGCACCCTGCTCCAGATGTCCCTGCTTGAGCTGGGGTTGGACGAGATGGACTTTTGGGTCCCTGCCAACCTCACCACTCTGGGCTGAGAACATGTTTGTCTGGTAGAGAAACAGAGGTTGTTGTGATGTCTTTAAAAGTCTTTGTACCTCTGGTCATTAGCTAGATGCAAATCAGAAGATGTTAAAAGGGATTGTAGTTTGCACAGAGTGATTGAGTCAGTCATTTTTCCCTTGTGGAGCTCTTCCTGCACATGGGGGCAGTGCGAGGGCCAGTGCATGGAATGCTTTGCCTGCTGCTCTGCTCCAACAGTGCCTGGCCATCTGGAACTGGCTTCAGAACTGCTGCTTCTCAAATCAGCAATTAGTTACCTTATCTACTTAAGGTAGATGCCACAGCTTTCCTAGAACTGCCACCTGTGTTGCACATAAACTGCGTGAAGTTATTGTCACTGAGCCAGTTCAGCCACCACTGTCATGTGGTTACTCGTGTGGAGGTGACACAGGGGCTGTCAGAGTGCTCCTGGACCTTTAGGAATTCAGCCTGGCAGCCTTGCTGAGAAGTCATTTTTCTGACTGCTTTGTAGCTTGTGAAAATGAAACATGCAGATTAAGAGATTTACCCGAGATCGTAGGATGTTGATGTGCTTGAGATGAAAATCTTCATCTTCAGTGTCCCAGTTTTGTGCTCCATCTATCAATGCAACACTTCTATTTTTATCACTTTTTAGTGTCACATTGTTTGCAATTTGCTTTACTAAAAATCACTTTTCTGCAGGCTTTGGTTTCCACTGACAGAGGAGTACACTCTTCTGAACCAAGCTGTGCAAAATAAACATTGAGCTAACAAAAGGCATCCACATTTCTAATTGCTGTTGTGCAAGTGTGTCCTTGTAGCTCTTGCAATTAGGCAGCTGCATAAATACAGCTCCTGCACGTTCATCGAATGAAGTGTTACAGCTCTGTTTCTGGGGCGTTACTTGGCTGACCTTTGAAGAAACTGAGCACCGTCCCTCCCTCTGCTCCATTTGCTGAGTCAAGGCTGCTGCTTTCGAGGAGAGATAGCCTTTCTCATAGCCCAAGGCGGAAGTTTAATTAGTGGCTGCAGACATCTTAGATGATGGCTGTGTTTACACCCCAACACACCGCTGTGGAGGTTGAGTGTAGTGCTTGAAGCACCTGGATGGTGCTGAACAGCCAGAACAGATGCGGATCCAGACGCGGAATAACTGTAGAGGTGATGCCAAGCTGTAGTTGTTTCAGATACCACTGGTGGCTGTGATTTTCTCCCATGAAAAACACAGGCTCTTCACCAATTGCAAGCTAAAGTTGCAATCTAAACAAATGGTCAATTCTGGGCTTTAAAGGAACAGACTGTTTTTGTGTGTTTTTCTTAACAATCCAGACTTTAAACTTAAGAGAGTAAGATTAGAGAACCAGAAATGTTCTCCGGTTTGTAGGAAAGAAGTAGCTAAGTGACCACAATGCTGTGTCACATCGCTGCATGCTTGCTGTGTGACTTTTGAACCCAGGATGTGTGAAGCAGAAGTTGTAGGGCAGCCAAATAGCTCACCGTTCAGAAAATGCCAGCGTCAGAGAGATTGTCATCTCTGGAGCCATGACCTCTGGTGAGAGCATGTGTGTTCTCCTCCCCGTCTTCAAGATCTGCGCAAGCATCACTGTGTTTTGAATGCAAGAATTTTTCTCTCCCTCTTTGATATAAATATGCATCTTTGATATAAATATGTAGAGATAGTTATCTTTAGCTGCGCACACATGCCTGCAAACCGAGCTGGTTCACCGCACATCAGCACGAGTTGTGTATGCTTAAACCCACTGTCTTTATTCAGACAGAACTCCTGTTGATTTTTCTATGCTTCTGTAAATTCCAGAGCCACAGTGCGAAGCTGGTTGTGCACATTTGTTTGCCTTTGTATCATAATACAGATGAGTGATCCTTGTAATACAACTACATTTATTTGCTGATAGAAATGTGCAGAGCTGTGATAGGTAACTACATAGATAATCATTGATTTCCTTTTTTTTTTTTCTTTTTTCCCCATGCAAAACTGACCTGACTACATGCTTTGATAGACCAAGTTTCCCAGTTATCTGAGTCTAATAGGCCTCTGTCTCTTAATTTTTCATATTTTTTTTTTCTGATGAAATGGTCTTATTTTATTTTTCAGTAGTCTCCTAACCTTTGTCTAATTGTGTATCACACGTGTTGCTGGGGCTAGGTGACAACTGTGGCCAGTTCATTTCCTACTCAGAGCTTTATTTGCATCTTGACAGAAGGATGTGGTGGTTTTTCTCCTCTTTCCCTCTATATTGATTTCCTATGAATTGTATTTTTAGCCATTTACGAAGCATATGCAATTTTTAGTATACCACTAAAAAAAAAGTCCAAAAACCAGAGTAAAAGTCTTCACGAGAAAGATCTCAGAGCAGCAGATGTGTACCTAGAAAAGCTGGAGAGGTTTCATAGAGGACTGGGGACATGGGTCATGCTGCTGAGACGAGTTGTTGACTAAGCTCAGGTCTCGTGTCCTCCAGGTAGGATAGAATCACAGAGTCACTTAGGTTGGAAAAGACACTTCAAGATCATCAGATCCAGTCATCCACCTGACGCTACCATATCCATCACTAAACCATGTCCCTAGAGTCACATCCACAATGTTTTAAAGGGGAAAAGTTAGAAGGGACATTCTGTTATAGCAGAGTTCTTCTCAGTGCTATGGTAAAAGAACAGACAGACGAACAACAAAGAACCATACATAATGCTAAAGAGTTTGAGAATTTGGGAGAGAACAGCTTGTCCTGGTTTTATTTCTAGGTGTCTGTCCACATACAGGGCCTGCTGTAATGTGGAGGAATCAATTTTGGTTAAAGGATGGTGGTTAGATGGCGAGAGCACCTGTCTAAGGTTGTTACATGGCCATTTTCACCTGGCATGTGTATGCTGATGCCAGAAGTCCCACTTTTCTGCCTCTTTCCTCTTGTGATAGGATAAGGGATAATGTTTTATAAGTAAAAGAGAGGAGATTTAAGTTAGATGTTAGGAAGAAATTCTTTATTGAGAGGGAGATGAGGCTGTGGCACAGGCTGTCCAAAGAAGCTGTGGATGCCCCAACCCTGTAGGTGTTCAAGCCCAAGTTGGATGGGGCCCTGGGCAGCCTGAGTTGGTGGGGTATAACCCTACCTGTAGTCCTGAAGTGCATGAAGTTCTTGATAGAAAGAAAGATCCTTGGATCCAAGATCCTGACATCCATCCCATCAGGATTATCCCCTAGTCAAAGCAAACTTAAATTGTGTTGACTTTTTTGCCTGCTGGATTTGGTTATGTAGAAAGTAGGTCAAGGAATCTCATAAATCTTGACAACAGCGGAGCTTCTGTTCTCCATTCCCAGCAAGCAGGAGGAGATGGAGCTGGCTGTCTCAGGGTTTGATTCTGCCTGTTGAATTGATCCCCATGGCCTGTGCAGGAGTGGTGTGAGCTGGCAGCAAGCTTTGCTCATGGGAAGAGGGACACCTAACCCATATTGCCCACTCTGCTGGGCAGCTGGAATGTTTATGACTGTGCACATGCAGATATCTGCTCAGCAGATAAGCATTTGGCTCAGGAGCTCCTTGCCCTGCAAACCATTTTGGGAGAGCTGACATGCTGGGAGACTTGGTGGCATCCTGTGTGAGATGCGTTAGTAGTTCTTAGTAAAAGATGTTGAGACAGAGTGCAAGTGATTCATAGTTGGGTTTTTCTCTTCCTTTTTGCTGTGTGAAGCTGCAGAGGTGTTTTCTCTCCACTTCCCACCTTGTCCTCAGCCACCCCTATGAAATCTCCACATGGGGCCCATGTGATGACTCAGCCCCCTCGGGAGACCCCGGTGGTATTTCCCCCACCTTTCCATCAGTGACTTCTCTGGTGAGAAAGTCCTCCAAGGCTGTGCCTTGGCTCTTGTGTCTCACCAGAATGTAAAGGTTGCATCCTGCTGGGTGTGATTGAGTCGACGCACTTGTTCATAGTTATTTTGATCAAGTAGAGACCTGAAACAAGATGACTTGTTTTCTTCTTTCATTATTTGCCCAATTAAAAATGTTTGCAGTTTAGCTGCTATCTAAGCATTCCTAAGAACAAGGATAGAAGGGAAGCATGGCCACTGTTTTGATCTTTGCACACCATTCACAGGGGCTGGGTGGGGATTTTATGGTCAATGACCCCAGCTGGCTCCAGGGCCTCTTCACTAGGCTGCCTGTCCATCCTTTGGCAATGCTTCAGGTCAACTTTCCACTTGTGAAGTGAAAATTGTGTAAATCTCAGTCCTGATCCCAAACAGAACAGGTGTCACATACAAGTATGCTGCAGCCATTAGCTGTTGCATTTGCCAGCAGGAAACGGCACGGTATGGATTTTTAGTGGTACATCACCAGGACCCAGATAGGTCTTAGAGCTGTCTTGCTCCTTCTGGTGCCTGTGTTCTTCAACGAGACTCCAGCTGAGTTTCTCCTTGCTGCTTTGTATAGTGTCTTGCTATGCAGGTCCCATCCCAGCTGTGCTCCCAGTGCCCTTCCTTCTTTAATAACACGTTCTGATATTTTTTCCCCTTTCTGTTTTCTTCACAGATCTGGAAAGTATGAGCAGCAAGAGAAGCTTAATCACCATTAGATAAGTATTACAGATGACTCATGCTAGAATATCAACAGCTGTGCAGCTGACATGAATATATTTGTACCAAGAGCCAGGAACCTTAACCCACCCTGTGCTTTCCCACTAACACGCTTTGGTTCTCTAGCACCTTTTACCCCCTGATTTGTACACCTAAACAGCTCACAGAAGTGTTTTTGCCTCCTTGAGGGGTTACAAGGTACAGGATAGCTCATGTCACTTGAAACCAAATTACAAGATGTCATCTTAAAATGAAAGCTGGTGATGAATGGCTTCAGTGTTGTAGCTGTTTTCTAGGACAACTTGCAGTTTGTCTTTTTAATAGAGGCAGTTAATGGCTTTCCTCAATTCTTTGTGGTTTTTGTTTGTTTTCTTTTCAGAATCATTGACTCCTTTTCCAGCACCACAGCTCCAGAAGTCCAGAGCAGGTAAGACAGCTGCTGCTTTGAGGTGCTCCATTTGATTCATTAAAGACAAAATGCTGGCTGCATGTAGGCAGCATGAAAAATACATTGGCTTGACTGTGGTGAGAATAACACCCATCATGCTTGGCCCCATCCAAGCGTGAGGAGTGACTGTATTTGGGGCACAGCGAGCAGGCTTGCAGCAGCCATGGTCCTGGGCCCCTTGCTCTGAGTGTCCTAGCTTGAGCAGAGGTCAGACCAGATGGATTCACAGGTCCCTGTCAACTTCACCCATTCTGCAATTCTGTGGAGGTTGCACTTGGCAGGAGCTAGCCTGTCTCCATTAGCTGGAGGTGGGTAGACAACTTGGAGGGGTGCAAAGAGAAGTCAGAAGGAAACATCTGGATGGGGAGTGCTGCAGAGAGGGATGTGCCTGTGATGATAAAGTGTGCAAGGCCCTGCGTCAACTTCTGTATTCTGGCTCAGCCTGCTGAAGAAGCTCGTTTTCCATGAGGATGCTGGGCAGTGACCCAGCACAGCTCAGCACAAGCAGAGTGTTCCCTTTTGCCATCAGCAGGCTGAGACCAGAGCTGCAGCAAAGTTGTGATAGCACATCAGGTGCTGCAGTTGTTTTGGCAGTGACCGAGAATCAGAGCATGCTGTGTAGAGAAGTCTTGCTTGAGGATCTGTTCTTGTGTCCTGATGACACGACTCTGATGCTGTCTTACATTTGTTGCGAGCACTGATGCAGGATTCACATTACAAGGTAAGTTTCGTTGAGGTCTGTATGGAAGCTTTCATTTGTGCGTGCTGCAGTAAAGAGCTGTGTCCTGCACGTGTGACAAAAATAAACTGTGTTGCAGCTGGCTCTGGGATCAACTGCTGTTGCAGAAGCCCTTGTTTGACAGCTTGTCTATCATCACAGGGTCAGCTAGATCCCTTGCCAGTAAAGCAGCAAATGCCCTGAAGACCTTCTCCGTTTAGACTCTGTATCAGATATTTGCTTGGCATGGACTGATCTCATGACAAAATTGTCCTTAGTGATAACCTGGCATTACTCTCTGGAGAAGGAATGGGAGTTTGGCTCTCGGGGGTTGTGTGCCACCCCCCAGTGAAGGTTCTGTGGATGTTTTCATAGCACGGTCTTCCACTTGAGGCATGTTCTCCTTCTATACATGCTTTAAAAAAACAACATCAAAAAAAAAAGAAAAAAAAGAAAAAAACCCCAACACCCTGACGAATGCTCTTAACCCCACTCTGTTGATTGCTCAGTGGAAACACTTCTGGGGCAGAGAAATGAAAGTGCCAGCCCTGCCCTGCTCACCTTGAGCTGCTCCCTGGGGTGAGGCTCACAGCTCAGCCGTGGGACCCGGTGTTTCCCCCACGCAGCCCTGGCTGTGTGCATTCAAAGTGAGCACCCGGCCGTGTCGCCTAGCTGCAAGCAGAGCTGGGAGGTGCATGGGGCTTTCCAGCCACACAGGCCAATATTAGTAAGTGGGTTTGTGCATGTGCCTCTTGATTCAAGTTGTGAGCTGCCCGCATGGTCTAAAAATTGCTGCTCAGCCTCGTAAATAATACACTTGCAAAGAGTTTCCGAGAAGCATAATAACTTCCCTACATACATTTATTTTACGTCTTTATGTTCTCAGATGTGTGTGTATGTGCTGAGTGTTTGCTGTACTCCAAAGAGGATGCTTCTCTTGCTCTTGTCTGATAACCGCAGGCAGGCAGTGGATGAGGATAAGGAGTTTGTTGCTGGAGTTTTGCCTTTTTCTCTTATCAAATTTTGGGGTGTCTTCCTGTGGGTGGGTAGGTAGGTAGGTAGGGCATGTGAGCGAGTTGCATGGTGATTTCCAGATCATGCCAGCTCTGCAGTTTGATTGGGAAGTGCGTATCCCAGGGCACCTCTAGTCCAAATAGGCTTTTAAATCACACAGGTAATTTTTAAGAAAGATCATTAAGTTCCTGAGTTACTCAGTAATGTCTACAAGTGTTACCGCAAATGGCTCGTGAAGCACTAACTTCTGCCAAGTGGCAAGTGCATTATTAGGAGACAATCAGCTGCCCATGTGGCATGAGTCTTGGGGTGTTTAACTGAGTTGCTGTAGCACAGCTCTGCTGAACTGACCTCGCCTGCCTCCATGCTCTGATAACCCTCCCTGGGAGAAATGCATCTTAGTGGAGCGGTGTAAGATGCTTCTGCTCCTATTTCCTGCTGCACAAAGCTGCTATCCTCAGAGACACGGGCATTTACACCTTATCCATTGCTTCCTATTAGCACAAAGCCATCTTCTGTTGATAGAAGAGCTGAAGCATGAGGAGAGGATGTCAAAATTTGACAGGTCTACTCTTCCTCCCCTTGCTGTGGATAGGGGATTGATCTCTGGCAACACAGCAAGTGAGGACAGTGACATCTCTGAGGCTGAATGCAGAGCACAAGGATCATGGGGGGCTTTTAAAGAGAGATATTACTTGAGGCATTGTAGGGGGGGAAGAGGTGAATACCACTCTGTTTCCATAAGATTGTATTAGATCTGAGTCAAAGATTTCTGTGGATCTTGGCTCAATGCTTCCATAATTTAAAATGTTGTCATTTTTGTCTGATTTAATGACAGGCAGTACCTAAGAATAGATTCCCGGGTGTTTTATCATGTCTGCGCAAATCGTGCTGTTCAAGTGTCACAAGATGCTTTGTTGAAGCCACAGCGGTGTGCTGTGGACAAACTGCTCAGTGGCCATTTGCTTTGAGAAGCAGACCACATACACCTGAAGTATATCTTGAAGTGTTAGCTTGGAAAACCTTGCAATGTAGGAAGGCAGCAGAGGAATATTGGGCGCTGTATTCAAAGAAAAGTGACAGGCTCAAAGTCTACCCTGAACAGCACGTCATCCTCTAGGTAGAAGACCAATGTGAAAACCCCATTATTGCTTCTGCTCCTCCCTGCAGTATTTCCAAGGTTTTTGCTGTGTTGCTGTCAATGTGGCACAGAAATGGTTGTTGTCTACAGTAGGTTACTACGCAAGGGGCCTTGTGGAATTCAAGATGCTCCTTGCAGTAAAGGAGCACACTGAATGGGTGCTGAGTTTTCTTCTCAACTTGTTTTCACCAAAGGCAAAGTCACAAGCTCCCCTACTCATGTTTTCATCCTTGACACAAGTCTCCTGGGAGGTCAACCACCATTCTCAGACACTTGGTCACTTAGTGGAACAAACTCAAGGGCCCTCACAAGTTATTGGTGGAATTCCCGTTGCTTCCTGGAGGAGTTTGTAGTTCCCTAATAGGACATCTTGGTTTGAGGCTCTGAAGTGTGCACACATGAACAGAAGGGAAGCATAAACGTGTACCTCCATCCTGCTAGTGAAAATTAACAGGGAAGACTTTTGTCAACTTCTAGAATTGCGTGGCTGGGATGCATTTAACTGCAGCCAGCCCAGGGGGAGGTGACACTAAAGCAACAGCAATGATCCCGATATGAATTTCTCCTCACTGGGCAATGTGTCTCTCTGGGGCAAGTATAGAGCAGTTATAGGAAGCAGCCAGATCATATCCAGTCTGTCATAACCTTTGACGAACTGGCATGGGCCAACAGCAGGCCTGGGCATGGGGATATTGGGTGCCCACAGAGTGCTGTACACCGCTGGTGTGCACTAACGAAAGGAAATACACCATCAGGTACCAGCAGCTCAGTAAGGAGCCAGGAGGGAGCTGGTACGCCCTGCTGGCACTGCCTGGCTCAGTCTGCCCATTACATGTCTTGACAAGGCTTTTGGGTGCATTGGAAAACAGAATGCTAGAATCCCAGGTTGGCAGGGAACTCTGGGTCCTCTGGCCCAACCTCTGCTCAAGCAGGACACCCAGATCAGGATGCCCAGGACCATTCCAGAAAAGTTTGGAGATCTCCAAGATGATTCCACAGCCGCTCTGGACATCCAGAGCTATTCACCCACACAAGAAGAATTGTTTCTTGCAGCTGCTGCAGCACTGGTGTGCTATGGTGGGGAGGCTGCAGAAGGCGAAGGCAACTGAAGTTGAGTGCTGTAATCCAGCCTCTGTTTCCTGGGTTGGCTGCTGCCTCTGGAGGTGAATGGGCGACAAGAGCGCATGTGATTGTGAGTGAGCCTGCCCTGCTGCACAGGGTTAGATTTGTCAGTGTGCTGTGGCTATGCTCCTTCCTGGATCCCAGCACCCTCTGTCCCTTTCTGACAGTGCAGGTGTCCAGGGGCAGCTCTGCCATCTGCATGGGTTTGATGGCAGCAGACTTCCCCTTTGCAAGGGGAATTTTGCTGGGCCCTACAGAGGCTAAGCAGTTACAGCGATAGCGCTTGGCCTCACTACAACAGGTCTGTAGCTGTATCACAAACAAGGAGTAGGGGAAGCACCTGGAGACACATCTGTGAAACGCATCCGTGTTGCATGGTGAGGCAGTGAGTTCATGCAGAGCCCATGTACTGCCTGCACGCATCTTCCAGCATGGGTGCTGGGTTTGGATGAGACAGGGACAAGCTGGCTTCTGAATGTCCCTCAGACGCCTCTGTGCTGCACCCAGAGAACTTCAGCTCTCTGAAGAAGAGAGGAATGACAAAGCAAAGAATAACCAGTGTTTTCCTTGGTGAGCTTGTGGTGGGACCTCAGGAAATCTAAACACAGGCAAAGATGGATGTATGATGTCAGCCTGGTCTCCAAGCCACAGTCAACAGATTTCTCCCCTTAGTTCCTAACCCTCACGTTTCTTTTTTTTTTTTGGAGCTGCTGTCTGAAAGCACTCAAGCTAAATGTCATGTTGTAACCGTTGCTCATCTGAAAGTGTGGAGCCAGCTCTCAGCAGCTGCTAAAATAGCAGAACTGAAGTGGAGAATGAAAAGTGAGATGGTGATTAAGACCGATTTCCCGTTGCAGCCTCGTATGGCTCCTGCTGGCTGTGGAGTCGTCGGTGGCATCAACAGCAGCGGTCTGAAATGGTCCTTGTGCTGTCCTTGGGGTGGCTGAGTCATGGTGTCCTCTATGCTGTCCTCTGTGCTCAGTT